CGCCACCCCCGGGCCCTGCCCTCCCCGCTGCCCCCGCAGCCCGTGCCACGGTTTCTCCGGTCTCTTGTGGGGACAGCGGTGCGAGGCCGCCGCAGCGGCCACGGGGTAGCGCACAGGAGCCGCAGCCGGGTGTGAGGAGCGCAGGGCGAGGCGGCACCGAGCCGGGCTGCGCCCCGAGTGGCGGCGGGGACGGACGGGGCGGTTTGCCTCCTTCCTGGAAATCAAACGATCAAATATTTGGTTATCTCAGAGGTCGCTCATGAAGAACGCGCTGTAGCTCCTTTGAAAGATAACCTATCAGCAGAGAGCCTCTTAAGCAAAATGTTCTTGTGGGGGTGTGGAGGCTTTAGCATCGTTTGCGTAGAGCCTTGAAACTCTATCCCTCCGAAGGCTGGGAATTAGTCAGGAAAGGGAGGAGAGAAGGACGATGCTTCTAGGGATAAAACTCATCACCCTACCCCTGCTGCACAGAACATGCTCAGCCTGTAGGTTCAGGATTTAAAGTACTTAGAAACCCTGCAGATCATTTGGAGGACAGAAAGGGCTCGAATGTGTGTAACATTTGTCCTGTCTCTAATAAGAGTCTGTCAGTTCACTGGCATGATGAGCTTTATTTCATATTTGGCTGTGGAATAGATTGTTATCCCTGCCTGCCTTTAGTGTGTGAAGAATGCAGCATTGTCCAGCTTAATCCTTTTTAGCCTTAGAAGTCTTTTGAGGCCATTCAAGCCTTTCCTAGTGTGCAAAAGTGGAGAAACTAAAGGAGAAGGAAAAACTAAGGGGAGAAATTGAAATGGAATTGTTCTTTTTACTTAAGGCTCCCAGAAAAGACGACAACCCCGTGTCCCACAGGCCCCTGGCTCTGGGCCCCAGTGCTCCCAGGCAGGATCCATGTGTGGGGAGTCGGGGCAGGATGGAGAGCCTGGGGCTGCCAGCAGCGACCCTTGGGGATGGCACCACGGCCTACCTGCAGCAGGCTGGCAGAGGTAATACAGCCTTGGGCTACCAGGGCTCAGAGTCTCTTCCTGGCTCTGAAATTAAAGTCAGACTTACCAGAAGCACCCATTATGGCATGGGAGCTGCCACACGTGCATGGCCACTTCACACGGGCAGCTGGTGACTGTTGGATTTGCACTGAAGTCTGATGTAAAATAAAATACAAATCAAACATATCTCTGGTTTGGAAATGAAGCTGTGGAGATGGGAGAGCTGTTGCTGTAGAAAATAAAGGTGCTGTTCAGACTAGAAGAGCCCCATTCTTTCCAGGATTGCTGTGGACAGGGAGCTGATGCTGTGACCTGCAGTGCTCTGCTCCACCAAAACTTCCCTTGGGCTGAGCAGGTGGTTTTACATCACTGGTGTGCACAGAGTTCGGTTCACAGCAGTGTTTTTTTCACTCAAAGAGGTGCCAAATTCCACATCTGCCCTTACTCTGGTGTTTGTGAGGTGCCCCTTTCTCCAGCACCCGCTGCTCCCAGGCAGAGGAGTACGCTGTTTCCCAGCCTGCAGAACAGGATGGAGGAGTTGTGCAGCTCCATGTCCTGGGGTTGCTCTCCTGCTTTATTTTCTGTGCAAACTCACTGCAAGTTTATTACACATGTGGAACTGGGCTGTCTTGGAACCATCAGGTTGTGTGACACCCCCACCCCCCCAACCTTATGCTCCAGGTGAAACCAACCTGGATTCTCCATGTTCAGTGAGATGGAGCAAAGTCCTCTCTGCATCAAATCATTTGGTAACTAAGTCATTATTAGGGTTTGCACAGAGTCAGGCTTTGGCAGAGTTCAGTCTCTACAGCCTGAACAGTCTCTACAACACTGGCAGCACTTTAGGCCCCTTAAGGTGCTGTAATTGTTTCCTAACAGTTGAGCCTCTGCCAAAGTAGTAGATAACTCTCCAGGCACTTGCTGATGTTACTTAGCGCACCCAGTTGATTTTTTTCTTTCAACACAAGTGTAATTGCTTTCTCTGTATGCTCTGTCTTTCTTCTCCTTGGCACAAGGACCTGTGAGGGGCAGCTCCTCAACAAGGAATGCCTGAAGGTCTTTGTCCTGTGTCCTGTCTAGAAAAGTGCTATGCCAGCATTTTTGGGAAGTGGAGCCCCTCTGTGGGGGAAAACTGATCCATATCAGCCCAGAAGTGATAATTCCTCCATTTTGGGAGAGTGTGGGAAGTAAGTGGGACAGGAGGACTGGGCTCAGCAACTGATGGATGGCATGTTTTAACTGTTCCAGGTGAAAAGCTGATTGAAGGGCAAGTCATTGAACTTGAAGATGGGACCACAGCTTATATCCATCAGGTGACAGTTCAGAAAGGTGAGGAACACACATTCCCCTCTTTCTGTTTGGAAGGATACTGTAGATGTGGCTGCAGCTCTCAGTGCTCCAGCATTTGGGCTCCTCTGTTCGTTCCAGCTTTCAAAAGTCCATGTGAGCGTAGGACTTTTGTTGGGGTTTTCTTTCTTGTGGTTTTGAAGCTGAATAAACAAGGACATTGCCTGCAAAGCTTTTAGCAATCTGATGAGAAGGTGAATTTGGTGGAGGTGGAGACAAATGTTTAAGTGTCATTTCACCTGTGGGCTCTCCCTATTGTAATACCACAAGTCCAGTGCACTGTGTTCTGTGTTGGTGCCAGCCACTTAGTACACACAGAGCTTGTTTCATGTGGGAGCAGTTGGACAGGAATTTCCTCCAAAGTGTGGGATAATATATTACTTCTGAGATAGGTGTTGGTTGGGGGGGTCATGTGGGGATTGTTTGGAACAATGCCACCTTGGTCCTTGACCCATCAGCCAATGTCATCTCTGAAATCAGGTAATGTTAGTCTGAGAGGTGTTGGGAATCCAGTTCATGGTGGCAGGCACCAGAGTGGCTCAGAGGAATCATCCTTGGCCATGCTAAGATGCAAAAGGGCAGGTAGAAAGAGCTCTGTTACTTTGGGCAGTCCTTCCTTGATGCTCCCAAGTTCCTTGTATGCCACCTCCCTTTCTATTCTCTAAAGGCTGCTTGAAATTGATGTTTTGTAGCTGGCTGTGCCCCTTTCACCTCTTCATCCACTTCCCTGCCTTCACATGCACAGTGAGAGGGGTTCTCCTTCTCACCCTTTCTTCCCCTGCCATAGGATGTTTGTGTTCTTCGCACACCCTGTGCCAGAGCCATTCTTCTTGTCTGGGATGTATATCAAATAATTCATATAATTATGAAGTATATGTCATATACTTCAAAATGTCTGCATTGAGGCACTGCATTACTCCTTTGAGCAAAGGAAGAGGCAAATTGTGCATGAAGCCTTAAAAACCTCATCATTCACATCAGAAGGGCTCAAATAGTGCCTTAAAACCTACAGCTGTGGTTGTCTTTCAGGGCAAGCAGGCAGCCCAGTGTCCTCTCCTGTCTGAACTGCCACAGTATTCCCCATCCTGACTCCTCCAGGAGGGTGTGTGGATGTATTTCTTTTCTTTTAGAGGCTGTGGCTTTTGAAGATGGGCAGCCAGTGGTACTGCAGGATGGCAGCACAGCCTTCATACACAGCACAGATAAAGGTAAATCACTCCCTGATCTTTCCCTGGCAGCTGGAGAGAAGCTGCTGAAATGTCTCAGGTTTCCATGGCTGGGGAGCTGAAGCACTTTTTTTCTGCCTCACACTGAGCCTTTTTTCAGCTGAATTTTTTTCAGCTCTTTATCTGACAGTTTCCTCCTGCAGAGAGTTATGAGCCTGGCACATTCCAGGCTGTCCAGCTAGAGGATGGCTCCACTGCCTACATCCACCATCCTGTCATCATGGCACCTGGCAGCACCATCCTGGAAGTGCAGACAGAAACTGGGCTCAAAGAGTTGGCTGGGGATGAGGAAGATGATGGCTTTGATGTGGACACCATTAATGCACTGCAGCAGTATGGCAGGAAGGTGAGGGCACAGCATCTCTTGGCCTGAGTTTGTGCCCTCCCTTCAGCAGTGCTTGTGTCCTTCTGTCTGGCAGCAGCAGCTTTGAGAGAAGCGACTGGAAGGGCTCCAGAGTGAGTGCATGGCACTCACACTGCTGAGGGGTGCCTGGCAGCGGGGGACACAGAGCCGGGGCTGTTTGGTCCTATGGAGTGCTGGGCCTGCCACCCTTAACCTGCTGCAGGCTCAGGTCTAGGAAGGGAGGAGAGCTGCTGTGATACAGCCTTTGGTGTGTCAGCAGTGGCTAAGCCATGGCCACTGTCCCCATGGTGACAAAGGCCTCAAAACCAAAACGGCTTCACATCCTGATGTGCAGTCACTCCAGTGTCCCACCTCAATATCCCAGGTACTGCCTTTTTCTCCCATCTCCATAGTGCTGTGGAGCAGGGGCTGCCAGGAGGGTGCTGGCAGGGTGAGCTGGGCACAAACCTTCCTGCAGTGGCAGGCCCAGCCCCTACTCTCTGGGGAAGGGTGGGGTGGCACTGTGGCTGTCACTGCCTTCCTGCTCCACACTCTACAGGGAGGCACAAGCAGTGCTTGTGCTTCTTCACACACAGGGGTCTGATGAGGAAGAAGTGGGAGTGACAGATACCTGCCGTATGAAGCGTAAGGACTCCAGCAACATCCCTTCTCGGGTCTGAATTTTTCAGTGACTGGAACTAGGCTGAACTCCTCTTTGCCACTAATTATAAAAGCCTTGTGGCTTCTCTGCCGAGCTAGCAAACATTAACTGCACATATTTCAAATGAGCTGAGAAAGGGAGTTTCGTGTCTAACAACCCCCAGTGAGCTGGGAAGTAGGAGGGGAAAATGCAGGTTCCTAGAGCCCTGTAACCTGGGCTTCACCATGTGGGTACAAGCTGGTTTGTAGGAACATGTTTTTGGAGGATATGATTTGTTTGTAGGAACATGCTGGAGTGCATATATATGGCAAGGAGGGAAATATTTGTGTGGGCTTGGTGAAGCTGTGGTGGCTTGCTGGATTGATTCCACTACTTGTCTCAGCAGGATTTGCAGGAGGAGGAGGTGCAAAACAACAGGAAGGGGCAGCAGGTTGGCAGCAGAGCTTTCCGCTGTGGGTACAAAGGCTGTGGCCACCTCTACACCACTGCCAACCACCTCAAGGTAAAGCAGGTGACATGGCAGTGTGCAGGCCAGGCCAGTCCCAGGTTACACTGCCAGAGCAGAATGTTCCATTGTGTGCAGCTGAGTGACATGCTGAGCTCCCCAAGAGACCCAGATGTGTCAATTGGCCAAGGTGAAATCCAACAGGGAATTTCAAATTCTCTCCACCAGCATTTTTCCAGTTTTCCTTCTTCCTTGCCTTGGACCTCATTCTAGGGACCTGTTCTTTCTTTCCCAGGTACATGAACGTGCTCACACAGGTGACAGGCCATACACATGTGACTTTCCAAGTTGTGGGAAAGCATTTGCTACAGGTAAGAGTTTCTGTTTAGAGCAGATTTTGTTTTCTGTCCAACCCAATCCCTGCTGAGCTTCAGTCCTAACTCTGGTGCAGTAGAGCACAGTAATCTAGAGCATCTAAAGCAAGGGAATCACAGCACAGGACTTCATTGATTGTGGGCAGATAATGGTGGAAGCAAGGTTGGGAGTGGTGTTAATGTTGGTTATTTCTTCCCTTTCAAGCTTTGCAGACACAACAGACACTCAAGTGAATGGACTGAGGGGTGGTTCTCAGCTTGTAATTGTGTTTCCTTCTCATTAGAAAATTAGTTGTGGTCTCTGTCCTGGACAGGGTATGGGCTGAAGAGCCATGTGAGAACACACACAGGTGAGAAACCCTACAGGTGTCCAGAAGACATGTGTAGCAAAGCCTTCAAAACCTCCGGGGATCTGCAGAAACACTTCCGCACGCACACGGGTGAGCAGCACAGGGAAGGAACTGCACAAGGGGCAGCCCAGTGAAAGGGTCTCCAGGGCACTCCAGGTGGCTGGGTGGTGGCAGGTCTCACCCACATTGCTCTGTCTGTGCAGGTGAGCGTCCCTTCAAGTGCCCCTTTGTGGGCTGTGGCCGCTCCTTTACCACGTCCAACATCCGCAAGGTTCACATCCGGACGCACACAGGTGAGCGGCCCTACATGTGTGCAGAGCCTGGCTGTGGCAGGGGCTTCACCAGTGCCACCAACTACAAGAACCACATGAGAATCCACACAGGTAGGAGGGAGCAGCAGCAGGGAGATTGGTGGGGCTGGAATGGGCATTCCATCACTAGAGTGGATCTGAGGGATCTGGAGAAAATAGTGGGAATTGCTTTATTGGATTGATTATTGTTCCAGCAGTATGTCTCCAGCTACTTGTTCTGGTGAGGAATCCCTCCCCAGAGCATGAGGAGAGTGAAGCTCAGCTCTGTGGCCTCTGCCCTAGGAGAGAAGCCGTACCTGTGCACCATGCCAGGCTGTGGGAAGCGCTTCACAGAGTACTCCAGCCTGTATAAGCACCAGGTGGTGCACACACACTGCAAGCCCTACACATGCAGCAGCTGTGGCAAGACCTACCGCCAGACCTCCACACTGGCCCTGCATAAGCGCAGCAGCCACTGCGAGCTGGAAGCCACCGAGGAGAGCGAGCAGGCCCTCTATGAGCAGCAGCAGCTGGAGGGTGAGCAGCCACTCCCCCCATCAAGGTGTGGCAAAGAGGAGGGAGGTGTCAGCAAGAGCAGGCACGCCCCTCTCAGACCCTGGTGTGTGCCGTGTTCTCTTGCCTCCCCATCAAATCCAGATCTATTGGAAGGTCCTTGCTGTAAGGTACAGGTTGGGAACAGGCCCCTGCCCATTCTGTGGTACAGGGAGAGGTAAAGGCCCTTCTTGCCAGGCCATCGCTGTGCTAGTGTCATCATGGTCTTGTGCTCTTTTGTGCTGGCCCTTGAGGCCACAGGCAGGTCCAGAGTCCAAGCATGTGCTTTCACACTCTGATAATGCTGCTCTTCCCCTTTGATCCAGCTGCTGCAGCTGCTTACAGAGGCTCTCCACTGAAGAGTCAGCATATTGCTTTCCTGTCAGAGAGGGAGGACGATGAAGAGGAAGGTGCTGTTCCTCCACAAGTCTCGCTTATCTCTCAGGATGGGGCAGAGCAGGTATGGACATGGACAGCCTCCAGCATGTCAGGGACAGCAGTTATTATCTGAAGTGAGATTCTGTCTCTACTCAGCTATGGTGTTCTTTGCAGACCCTTTTTCCAGAATTTTTTCAGACCTTGGAGCTTCCTGGGCTCTTTCTGCCCTGAGGCCTCCCTCCTACAGCCTCACCCACTGCTGCAGTGTTGGTTTGAGGGTTCTCTGGCCCTGATGCCCCCCTTATTGATGTGGTCTCTGGGTGTTTGTGACTGGCAGCCCTTGGCTCCCTGCAGCTCCCCAGCTCTGCTGATCCAGGCTGGATCTGGAGATGTTTTGTCATCACAGCAGTGCTTTTCTTGTACTTCCCTCCACCAGCTGCCCCTGTGCTGACTGGAAAAAACTTCCTTCTGTGGCACGAGGCAAAGGAAACAGCTGCCACCAGTGACCTGTTTCCTCTTAGCCTGAGATGCTCCTGATGCTGCAATGCACAAAGTTGTCTCCGTCCAGGCTTGAGACAAAAGGCTGAATGGGAAGGGGAGGTATGGTAGAAGGAGGAGAACTGAAGACCCAAGCTCTGAGTTCTCTGTCATCAGTTTTATCCGTGGCCCTGGGCAAAGTCCTTGGAGTTCCCTGTGCCTTGAGTCTTGTAGAGACTGTTTCCTCCTTGCCCAGACATTGCTGAACTCAGACTCCCTGAGCATCTGCTGTCATCCCTGGGTCAGTCTGTCTCAGGAAGAGCTGCAGGCCCTGGGCAGTGCCATCAGCATGGTGACACAGAGCAAGGCCCTCGTTGTGCCTGAGGGAGAGCTGGCCAGTGGTGACACTGGGACCATGACTGTGGCCAACACCAATGGCACTGAGGCACAGGAGGTAGCTGGGACAAAGCTGGGACTGTCCCTGATTTCTCTGCTAGATAAGAACTGCATTTTCTTTTAAAACATGATCATCTGAACTTTTCCCAGGTGACCATAGTCGCCTCTGGGGCAGTGGTGTAAGAGGAATCAGACATGGCCCTGCTCTGTCATCAGCAGGTGGCATTGCTGGTCACCTCCCATGGCACCCACATTGCTGTTCAGGTACCACATGGCTCTTGCCACCATCCCCTTCACTCCCTGGCCATCTGATGCCTGCAGCACTTGCCCTCTGGCCCTGCTGCATCACTGCTTGCCCAGGGGGCTTGCTCATTCATTCACAGATGCCCTGTGTGCAGAGGACAGCAGGGACATCCTGCTGGGATTGCAGAATGCCCCTTTGTAAACAGCGTCTGCTTCCCACCTGTGTCACCCACCTGTGTCACCCCTCTGTCCTGCTGGGAGCTACCCTGAGCTGCCTTTTGGGGGTTCAGCACTCACGCTCTCTCCCCCCTTTCCCTCCCCCAGCTGGAAGAGCAGCAGTGGCCCTCAGCATGGCCACAGCAGTCATCCACTACAAGCCAGTGGCAGCTGACACAGCCCTGCCTGAGAAGGAAAGCAGAGCAGTCGGGGCAGGGGGAGTGGCAGCCCCAGGCTGCCGTGTGCAGGGGAGGTGGGTGCTGCAGGCAGGACATGGGGCAGGGACAGTTCTGAGCCAGTGCCAGCATGTGCCCTGTTCCAGCCAGGACACTGACAGGGCAGCACAGCTGGGGTGACCCTGTCTGAAGGGCTCTTCCCTCCAGGGAGGGAGGGCAAATACACTGGGCTGCTGCCTGTTCCTCGGCTCTGAGCAGCAGCCCTCTTTTGAGGGGCACTTCCTGCCCTCTCCCTCTAGGAATGGTCTGACAGCTCCCCTTTCTTGCCCACCCCTCCAGCTCAGGGGCGAGTGGGCAGCACATGCACAGAAGCAATAAAGACCCATCAGAGCAAGCCCAGGCTGTGCTGAGCTCGGTATGGAAGGTGGACAGCTCCTGTCACTGGAGCCAGCACTGGGATGACTCCACCAGCAGTTCTCCCATCTCTTTGTCTTGCTCCTTTCTCAAGCAAGGCTTCCATGGCAGACTCCTTGGCTGTGGACCAGAGCTACCAGCACTTACCAGGAGCTGAGCTAGACCTGGATGTAGATGCTGAGTTGAAATAAAAAAAAATAAAATTTTGTTTTTAAAAGGCCCCCCTTTCTGTTTGGGAAAGCTGGGAGGGGGTGGGATGAATGTTGGTGTTTAGCAGCTGTAGGAATTAAGGACATTGAGGAGATTTGAGATTTGTGGAACTGACCAAACATGTCCTGCCAAAGCAGCAGCTGTCCCAGGGGAGGGCTGGGAGCAGGGTGAGCTGTACCCTCTGAGCCCTTAGCATGGGGCTAGGAGTGGCTAAGACATGTCCTTGAAATCTCACTTCAGGCCTTGGCTCTTCCAGGGACACCAGCAAGACTAGATTTAGGGAATCGTGTTTGTGAACACATCCTATATCCTCCCCTGAGCTGGGAGAGAGACCTGGGCTGGTGTCCTGCTCCCACAGGTGCCTTCAGCCCCTCCACTGCCACGGGTGCTGGGTGGTCAGAGCTGGGGAAGACCTTCTAGATCCTCGAGTCCAGCTGTGAACCTGAGCCTGGCACAGGCTCACGGCAGTCGCGTGGGTCGTTGTTTGGACATCCCAGAGGAGTTTGTAGAGAAAGATATTTCCGTGGGCACGGAACGGGCACAGCCCAAGACGATGCCACAGGCTGAGTCTCTGCTCGCCTAGTACGATCCCTTCCAAAGGCAGCGCTCCCGCTGCGAGGGGAAGCTGCTGCTTGAGCCACAGCGGGGATTTCTCTCCCCAAAACGCAAATTACAACGGACGTTGTGATCTCTGTGCCGAGGTCAGCAGGGGCTCGATGAGCCCGGGCCGTGCGGGGAGCGGAGACGGAGCCCGAGGGGTTCCCGGGGCGCCCCGAGCA